ATGTTTTTGATAATTTGTAAAATAGAATAAAATAAAATATATAAAAAATAAAAAAAAGTTATAAAAGAAATATAATTGTTTATATTGTAATAATGTAATGGCAAGTCAGTTGCTAACTCTAGCAGAGATTCGTGTAACTATTACTGGGTAAATGAATGAAAGGATGATTTTAGGCATGTTTGTATTTGAACAAGTCTTTATTAATTTTTCACTTCTATATTCACTACTTCACTATCTTTTATCTCTTTACAATTTACATTCTTTTATACTTCTCTTTCTTTACAATTGGCTATGGCGGCTTGGGTATAGAATAATAAGCTATAATACAATGACGGGGCTTAGACTATCTTACATAATTTTTCTCGTCAATTTCCTTCATCACTGGTTGTTACCTAATTATTACAGCCAACTTACCATTGTCACGGCTATTGATCACGTAACTACAGTCACGTTTCACTTCTCCCTGTTACATTTTCCCATGCATATTGTATGCGTATTACATATTTAGATTTTCATTAAGTGTGTCTATCGCAGTGTCTTGCTAATGATTAAGGAATTGCCGGGTTGTCGGTCGTTAATTACTAGTTGTTGGTCATCTTTTCTCTCCACTTCATCAGTTGGGCAGTCTGTTAGGTTCGTGATGAGGTGTTGATATGGCATGGCTCTCTCTATAACATATGTCATCCTGATATTGTTGCTTGCCCAGTCTTGTCGTCGATGCTTCCGTCTGTGGTAATGATATGGCCTGATGTGATAAGTGATGTGTCATCGACATCCTCTGGTTTCTAACTTTTGTTGGCGCATTATCACTTGTTTCTTTTTTCGTCCAACAGATTTTTGATGTAGGGTGGTGATACCGAACAATCGTTTCGCAGGTACATATATTGGCACCTTCGTAGGCACATTTATTATTAGGTATGTTATGATGGTTTCATTATCATCTCCTTTCTATTTTTCTATTACTTGCTCGTTTTTACTAGCTTCGAATTCTTGATCTTCTTTTCTCACAGGTTTTTTAGAGCTTATTGGTGTGTCGTCATGAATTTCTTTTCCACTTCCAGTATTCACATCGAACCCTCCTCCTTGGTCTCTATGGTCCGCGGTGTCTAATCATTCATCCATCCTATAATTGTTGAACAGACCAAGCGTCGTTTTGTCTGTCCATTCTGTCGGCATACTAGAGCATTTCTCCAATATTTCCATAGGATACTTTGTTATCATTTCCTTTAGACATTCATTCTGGTTACCTTGGTCAGTCGTTGTTTTACCGCGAGGGGTTCTCACATTGTGTCTTTTGGCTCTCCCATTGTGTCATCGTTTTTCTTCCTCTCTATTACAATACTATTGTTTTTCGGGACTTTGGCATAAATAAATTCCGGCAGTGTTTCTCTACAATATTCCTCCAGGATCTCACTCGGGTAGTCATCTATTGTTTCTTCTGTTTCTGTGTTTTCAGGATGTCTTTCTTCCACGTTTTTTAGGGTAAGTTGTAACTTGTACTCGTTGTAGTTAATTGGTATCTCATCATTAATAATCATCGGGGTTTCGTCCAGTACTTCTGCTGGCATTCTTTCTTTAATGCATTTATCTTTCAGGGTCTTCCTTTAGTCGTTGTCTGTGGTTTCTTTTGGATGCTTGTTCCTATTTCGCAGGTCGGGAGGCGTCTCTTCTTTGTTTGCAATATATAAGGATAGATTCTTTGCTGATCGTCTCATCTCTTCTCTATCCTCTTTGAGTTGCGCTTTATTTATCTGTGGTGACCCTTGGGAAAACTTGTTCTTCCTTGGACAACCTTCAGCATTGTGGTCTCTCTTTCTTGAGTTTCCACAACCCAAATTCCTTTTCGTTAGCATCTCCGGCTCGTTCGCGTCTTTCTTGGCGAGGACAGCAGGTTTATACAGTCTTCCTATCTTTGGCATTTGCTCTCTTATCTCTTGGGCACAGGCTTTTAATTCTTTCGTCTTACTTGCTTTCCTCTCGCTTTCCACTGCTGCTTTGAGTGCCCTTCCCGGCGTGTTAGCATTTTTAATGCAGGCAATGACAACATGTTGTTCTTCAATGTGACTACAAGCAACCATTCTGCCACTTCTTTAGAATAGTCGCCTTTAGGATAAAGCTGCTTGAGTAGCTTTCCAAACCTTCGGATGTATTCGATTACTGCTTTGTATTTTCTCTGCTCAAAATTCTCTAATTCTAACTGCCATTGGTGCTGTTGCTTAAGCAACTAAAATGCTGCAAGAAGGTTGACATGAAGCTCTTTTTGTCATTACTCTTGTTTCAATAAATAAACCAATCTCAATTTTCTTTATACCATTCTTTGGCAATTTTTCCCAGGTAACTGCCTATCATTCTTAGTTTCTCATTATCTGGCCTACCATTGAATTTAGCAGCCTTTTTGTAACATTCCAACCAATGGTGTGGGTCTTTTCCGGCTTCTCCCTCAAAGTGTCATAACCTAACCTGGTGGATCTCCTTCTCTGGTGTCATTGCTTTTAGGTTTTCTTGATCGTCAAGGATATGTGCCAGCTTTTTCAAGATGTTTAGTTATCGAAAGAGGTCGGAAACTGCGTTATTACTCAAATTTTGATTCATCATCGAAACACAAGTAATGTTACTGATTTTTGAAATTTCTATTCTATTAATTAGGTTTCAATTGGCAATTTTCTCTCGTCGTGTCTTGGAGTATCTTTATTTCTTTCTCGTAGGCGGTTTTTTCTTGTTGTGCCTTGGATAGTTCTCAAAAATATCGAGGGTAACCAGACATCGTCCTTGTACGAATCTCACAGTCACCATCAAAAATGTAACGGTGTAATGCCGAGTCAGTCACTAACTCTAGCAGAGATTTGCGTAACTGTTACTGAGTAAATGAATAAAAGGATGATTTTAGATGTGTTTGTATTTAACCGAGTCTTTATTAATTTCTCATATCTATGTTCACTACTTCACTATCTTTCATCTCTTTACAATTTACATTCTTTTTATACTTCTTTTTCTTTATAATTGGCTATGGCGACTTGGATACAGAATAATAAGTTATAGTACAATAACGGGGTTTAGGCTATCTTACATAATTTCTCTTATCAATTTCCTTTGTCACTCGTTGTTACCTAATTATTACAGCCAACTTATCATTGTTATGACTATTGATTACGTGACTACAGTCGCGTCCCATTTTTCCCTGTTATAATGTAAATGAATGAATTGAAAAAATAATATTAATCACTTTGACAATTTCATAAAATGCTATAGCCTTAAATATCAATCTGCTCCAAAGATATTACTAAAGGTATTACCTAGGGTGCTATGGCTATGTAATGGCTTTATGAAAGTATCAAGCAATTAACAATAGTTTTTTCTATTACTCATTTAGATAAACCATAAGAATTTAGAAAATAAAAATGATATGGGTATAACTTCATGCTAATAGAATATGGGGTGATTAAAGGAATGATAAGGAATGACAAAGGAATTAATAAAGGTAAGGGATAATAAAAATGTAAAGTTTTGCTTCATGCTTAGTCACGTGATCTGCAAAAAATTATATCAATAAAGATGAATGTGGTTTCTAGTTTCGCTCAGCATACATTGTTGTCATTGCGGTAGTTAACTTTCTTTCTTCTTTTTTTCTATATGTAGGGTCTTTTTCACGCTTGACTTGATCATGGTGTGATCGTTGCCCGGGTCTCGCATCTGCAGATCACTTCTTCGCAATCAAATTTGTCGTAGATCTCATCAGGTATGTATCATCATCTGAGATTTTTGCAGTTGTTACCATTAATACACATTTTTTTTCTTTAGGTTCTTTTTTTTGGAGAGAATATGATCTTGATCACGGTTGTAGTCAAGATCGTAATATTGTCATAGCGATCAGATAATATCTCATCAGAGGTAGGTTATTTTATTTATTCTGTCAGGTTCTGTCATTTGTTTGCTAAATGTGATGGTTTGCTGTGTCTTAAGTTGATGTAGCAAGAGATATTCTTTCCTTTGGGTGCTAAAAGGTTACCGCTAAGCTTTTTTTTTTTTTAATCTTTTTTCAGATGGCGGGTTATCACAATCTAAGGATTGTGATCTACGGTACTCTGGGTTTTGTTGGACTGGGGGGTATATGTATGTATTTATTTTTTTCTTGTTCACGTTACTCTTTTAAATTATTTTTAGATTTTGTAGAGCTTTTTTCTTTGCGCAGCATTGTAATCTCCAGGGCCATAATCATGATTGTGATTATGATCATTATTATGATGGTATCTTGTTGCTTAACATCAGAACTATCATATCGGTAAGCCCTTGTGTCTTATTTTTCCTTTTCTTTTTCTTTTCTTTTCCTAGAGTTTTCTGGGGACATGATCATGATTGCGATGTCGCCATAGCCATCAGGACTATCATCCACTAATAAGTTTTAATTTCTGTTTGTAGGTACAGAGCATTGTCATTGTTCTCAAGTCTTCCCTGTGTATACGATTGTAGTTCTGATTGTGATCATGACGGCATCTCAATATGATGATTTTTCGGGCGGCAAGGATTATTGAAATCATAATGAAGATTGTGACAATATCATGATCATTGGGGCGGCACATTCACAAGGTGAGTTAGTTTTTTTTTTTTTCTAGAACTCTTTTACTAACATATTTTTGTCTCTCTTTGTCGTTGTCAAGGCCTTTGTGCGGTTGTAACGGTCTTCTCTTTTTTTTTGTTGATGATCTTAATAGTATCCCGGTTTGATCATTGGGCACGATGTCTTAGGATAAATGCTTCCTTTCACAGGCTCAACATCACTCAGGATGGGCAAGTAAGCGTCTTTTCATTCCTTGTTACATTTGGATGGTTTGTATTTTGCCAACCCATTCTTGCATCTTCTCTTTCTTTTTTAGTCATCGTCGGAGCCTTCTTTACAGTCAGTAGTAGAGATCTTGATCTGGTATATTCTATTGTCAGGGTGGTGCTCTCTTTTGTTGGTTGTGGGGTGGTCCAGGTTATACATGTGTTCGTATTTAATTCAGACATTTTTCAAAAACCGTATTATGTTCATATTACTAAGTAACAATTAGTAA